AACTCTGGGGTGTGTGAGAGTGAATGGGTGGTTATCCTCTTGAAATAATAGGAACGTATAGTAGAAGAAACAACAACTTGTAGCACTTGAATCAGATTTGTTTTACAAGGCTGGTTGGAGTGAGACTTTTATGGAACCATCTAGGACGTTGGTACAAGGTCCACTGGCATACGCGTTTCAGAAGCGTTCAAGATGGACACATCCTTTGACCCAGTAATTGCCCTTGCAGACAGTTAACCCCTAGGAAATGGCCAGATAATTGGCTGTGCAGAGCTGTGCATCTTCGGGAGGTTTGGAAGGGTGATGGAGAGTAAGCAATCCACGTTTCTCAAAATAAGTAATTGGTTAAACAATTTAAGAGATGTTTACACATTGAAATATTCTTCAACTATTGAAAATGCTAATGGATATTTGCATTTGAGAAAAGTAGATTGGAAAAGCCCATGTCATACTTTTTAATGAAGAAAAGGCATATATATATGTATAATGTATACATTCTCAGTGCATACTCTTAGATTGTTAACAATTTCCTATGAATGTTGGACCAATGGGTTATTTTATCTTGTTTTCCTACTCATCTGTATTTTATGATATTTGTATAGTAACTAGGAACTTCTTGCATTATTTACCCAGAATGAAGATGATGTGTTCTAGCTAGGCAGGCCTGTCAATAGTATTTGAGGGACTTAGAGCAAAAGCATAAATGGAAGTTTACATATTTGTGGCTAAATATTTGGAAGGTATAAATTAGGACTTTATTTAAATATAGCTGTGAAATGTAAATATCACTTTAATGAAAATTCAAATCTTATTAAGTACTTTACCTTTAAAGGAAAATTATTCTCAGTTTTAGCATCTGATGACTACCAGCTCTTTTGTAAGGAAAAGATACCACGTTGTGGTGGATTCTGCCATCTGCTGCCCTGATCCCCCTTCAGGATCAAAAAGCCTCTTATTTCAGTTGCTAAGAGTGCTGCCAGGACACAGTGCTCAGCTGCCAGCTGAAGAGAGCCACCTTCCCCAAGGTCACACCCGATTCCTAGGGGTACTGCATATCCAGTGATTGATGGACATGACCATCTTGCTCCAGGTTAGGACAGCTTAACTTCTCCCTCTGTCCAATCCTGCTTCCTTCTTTTCCCTTCCACAGGTGTTGATCCCAAGAGCATTCCCTAATAAAAGCCCTTCCTGCTGAACTCTGAGTGTCTCTGAGTGTGCTCCCCGGGAAGCCAACCTGCAACAGTTGGTATAAGAAGTGGTTCACGAAAGCAAACACTGTGATGACTTTTTGGAGATGGATCACCTGCTGGTCAGCTGGCAATGAGGACCCCATCAATGGTGGTAGGTGGAGTAGCTAGGTCCCTAGAACAAAGTGACAGAGGAATTGTTAGAGCTCTCACTGGTGGTGAACTGGGATGGCCTACTGGCAGAAGGGCATGCATTAGCTGGTGCCAGGTATCAAGTCTTTTAGAAATAGACAGGAAATGATAACTATAAGGAAGGCTAGAAAGGTGGGTTGCTACTGCTAAGCTTGATTGACCTCTAGGAAAATTAATGAAAAGTTGAGTTAAATTCAATCAACAATTAAAAGCTATGTTTGAACATCAGAGAATTTCATTCATAGCGTATAAAGAGACTCTCATCTTTTCCAGGTAGAGGATAGAGAATTCTGAGGTTGGGCCCAGGATTTATTGACTTACTGAAAGAAAGTTTGTAAGAGAGTTGAGACCCCAACCAAGACAAGTATTCTATGCCAAAATTGGGGGCCTCGTTAGGAAGGAATGGGGCCCTGACTCATGGGATGGGAACCTCTTGATTGATGTCCCTAAAAAATCCTGTATCTCCAGTTTCCCCTAAGTCCTTCAGTGTTCATAAGTGACTGACTTCTCCCTGTTAAGGACTAGCACTCCACCATGCTTGAACATGCAGAGCCCTGTTCCCTGTAAGATAACATTGATTTCCCTGGAAATTCCCATCTGCCTCCATCTTCCATCCTGGCCACTGAACCTGTAACTAGGGTTAAGTTATGGCATAACCTAGATGGAAATGTACCAGTCCTCATAAGGAAAGCGTATGTTCCAACAAGAAGCTTCAGGATCTGCCCTAACCAATATGTACTAGTAGATGCAGAGGGAGTAAGCATGGAACTGAATTCTGAAGCATTAGATTAAGGGCAGCTGCAGTATAAAATCAAATCAAAAGAATGAATCAATCTGAGAGTACACCCCCAGAATGCAGGATTTAATATCTTGGCAAGGATCCCAGGAGATGATGTGAAGTCAGTACTGGGTGGTTCCTGAAAGTATGAAAAAAATAATGACTCACATTAAATGAGGTACAAATGCTACAGTTGCTATAGCAGATGGTAGAAGAAAGGATTAATGACTCAGAGAAGTGGGAATTATAGAATAGATATATTACTCCAAAAGGTCTGTGGAAAATGGAATTAGAAAATAAGTTTATTTTGGTACAAATGTTTGAAGTTTTTTTTTAAAATGGTCATGGAAATGTGTATTATGAAAAAAATGCATGAATTTAATTTTTTGCACCCAAATAAACTTATTTTTAAATTACATTTCCATTAACTTGAAAAAATTATTTATTTGAATGGCAGATACACAGAGAAAGAGAGAGAGAGAGAGCAAGAGAGAAAGAGAGATCTCCCATCCATTGATTCACTCTGCAAATGCCTAAGACAACTACAGGTGGGCCAGGAAGAAGCCAGGGTCCCAGAATTCAATCCAGGATTCCTACCTGGAATGGTAGAGACCCAACCACTGAAACCATTATCTGCTCCCTCCCAGAGTGTGCATTCGCAGGAAGCTGGAATGAAGAGTAGAGCTGGGAGTCAAACCAGGTTCTTTTATATGGGATGTGAACATCCCAAGTGGCGGGTAAATGGCATGCCAAATTTCCGCCCCTTCACGAACTTTCTGAAGTGCCCTCATATGTCAGGCCAGAAAACCCTCCAGAGCACCCAAAGGCTGCACCATTTACAAAGCTGTAAGAAGTGCATGGGTGAGAGGAGAACCAGCATCACCAAGTTCAGTGGTGGCTCTCCTGTGCAGGACAGGGTTCAGTGTAGGAGAGGATGTTATGGAAGGAGGTTTAGTGATAGAAATGGTGATGACTCCAAGACAATAGAGGCAGGATGGCCTCCCTTAACTGACGAAAATCAGGTGTATGTAAATACCATGATGCATTGAAGGGATGGTTAATAGAACACAATCCTCCTGGTGGTTAACAGATAGTTATAGGACAAGGACAGCCAGTATAACACAGTGCCCTGGGGAAAAGAGGCAGCTAACAATTTGCACTCAGTCTGTACAATCAAAATAAATCAAAGGTGATTGGGACTCTGAGGGTCAATGTTTCAATAAAAAGTTGCAATTCCTCACTCAACTTCTGGTCATAAGCCAGTTTTTGATACAGACCACATTGTTTGAAGGAGAGGCTGGGTCTCCTGGACCCTAGAACACATGCATAATAATGATTCTTGCAGTCCTTCCATTTACTCAGATAACTATAGACCTCGGAAAGAGGGACACTGAAATATTTTGAAGACAGATGGACACTGGTTCTGAGTTGATACTGATACCCAAAGACCCAAAGCGTCATCACAGCCCCCCTTTACCCTCTACCCCGCTTCCAGTTAGAATGGGGTTGTATGGGAGCCAGTTATTAACTGAGATCCTGAGTTAGGTATGGTTTACAGTGGATCCACTGGATCCACAGACCCACCCGGTGGCTACCTTCCTGATCACTGAACGTATAATGGGAATAGACAGAGTAGTTACTTGGTAGAAATCCTTAGTGTTTCTTGGCCTGTGGAACCAAGTATACTTGTAGATGAGAAGGCCAATTGGATGCTTCTGAAACTGTTCTCCCCTTCCTTGGTCAAGATGGTAAATGAAAACATATAGGACACCGAGGAGAGAGAAAGTGGCAGAAATTAGTGCTGCTTTGAAAGACCTAGAGAATGCAGGGTTGTGGTCTCCATCCTGTCTTCATTGAATACACTAGTTTGGTTCCTTGAAAAATGTGGATGGGGCCTGATGGGTGAGAGACTATTAGAAACTCAACCAAGTAGTAAGATAATTGGAATGGCTATGCCAGATAAAA